TCTTGATAAACAGCTGAAATGAACCTGACAATTTTAGCACAGATTTATCCTTTCGTCTATTTCAGAGGTGGCTGATGCATGTAATTCATATTTACTACAAGCTAGGAACAGTCACCAAAGAATTTTTATAAGCATTAGATACTATAAAAGACCTAAGTTCCAAAAAGTTCTGGATCCCTAAGCCAGATACATTTTTCTGCAGTGTATGAGACTGAAACCTCTGTCTCCTTGTGTCGGTGAACATCTGCCTCATGTAGTTCAGGACAGAGCTGCTGAGGCTGTGTGTGTGTTTTCACCTGAGCCCTGTGGTCCTTGAGCCCTTCTGAAACTAGGTGGTTTTGCCCTTTTGAAGAGCTGAGTTTGCTTAACCTTAGAAACAAGGCCCAGAGAAAAGAGGTGTCTAGTGATCAGTGTCTAGGGTTCAATTGCCTTTTGTCCTTCCAAGGGAGTGCTCATCACTCAGCTGTTTGCTGTGGTGTGCATGCACTACTTACCTTCCCTCTTGATGCTTTCACCTATAGAAAACAGTCAGTTACACTGAGCTAAAGAGACCAGAAGTTGCACGAGTTTGTTGCTTAGTGGGTAGGGCAGTTGCCTGGAAATAGATTGAAATCATCTCAGGCAGAGGAAGCAGACAAAACTCATGTGTTGTACAGCAGGCAGTATTAACTGCTACATTTTGAAAACAGCTGTATCTGTATGTCATGAAGAATCTGATACCCTATGCCTATCATAACAAGCCTTGTGAGAGATTTAGATTTCCAGCTCCTGTTGTCTGGAAACCAGTCAATTGATGTCTGAACTAGGTACCTGAATGCTCGTTCCAGTAAACTGAAAACCAGAACAGCTGGAATACACAACTCTGGAATGCTGGTGGCTCAGGAACTTTAAAAGTGAGGTGGTCACTGTTAACGAAATGTATTCCACATCTGACAGCAACAGGGAAGTAGTTTCCAGGCTTTTTTTTTTAGCTTTAAGTGGAATTCAAACACAAAAGATTTCATTGTTCCAGGTCTTAACATGTGTTTCTGCACTCTGATGGACATTGATGAAACCTCTTTTTACTTCTGATGTGCAAAGTCAGAGCCTTTAAACACTGCAATGTATTGGCCATGATGATTGTCCTTGGTGCACAGGAAACACGAGTTTGGCTAACACTGTTTCTGGAGAAGACTACTGTGGTTCAGAACTGTATAGATACATACAGCATTGCTGAGAGGTGACTGGAAAGCTCTTACTTTGTTAAATGCTCCAGCCCATTTCATAATTGGTTTTGCAAAATAAATTGGATAAATAGTCTTTTAGACTGATGAAAGACTGGTAAAAGACAGATAGTCTTTTTAGACTTACGTACAATTATAACCAGATAATAAATGAAATTTTGTTAACTCTAAAGGCCAAGTCAGCTGTTCACAAAGTGCATGTGTAACAGACCTTTTTCAATCTCCAGTGCAGTGGTTCACAATACAAATACCCATTTAAGTTTTAGTCATGCCTCTATGTTAATTCAACGACAACAATTTTTATATGAAGGGGTCCAAAGCTGACAAGGAAAACTGCATTAAAACTAGGCTAGTTCTTCTTTTTCCACTTCTTGCTTCTCATCATTCTCAGGTGTTCCAGAGGCTGCTGTCTCATCAACACTAGGGTATTCATATGTTGCATTGCTTGGTGGAACTGTGGTTGCAGGAATGTTTTCTTCATTAGGTACCTGAACATAGGCTGCATTAGATTGTTTCTGAGCCATTTCTCTGCAGGAAGACAGGATGAGGATTGTGATTTCACATGTTGAAATCCCATCTACACTAGACTCTTTCAAAAGAGTGAGTCTTTGTGGTTTTGTTGTCTAAAAGTAACCCCCATATTATTATGACTGTTCCAAGAGACATGAAAAGGCTACAACATCCCTGCTGCTAAGAGAGAAAGAGTGACAGCTTGTTAGGTAATAAGACTGATTTGCATCATTGCTTAAGCGATCCTGTTAGAATAAATTAGATTTTAGTATGTTTAAATGCTACACCAGGAAAGCAAAATGGGACACTGAGTGCTTCAAACAGTGTCTGAGGAGGGATAGCAGAACACAAGTGTATTAAAAATAGAGTGTAGTCAGAACAAGAGTTATGAAAAGCTAAAATCTAGAGAAAGATTTTTATCAACAGGTATGGATTCCATTTATCTTATCAAAAGAATAAACCAACCCCTGATATTTTAGCACTTTCACATGTAAAAAAGATCAGATGTTAGTGGGTTAGTTCAGTGAAGTAAGATTTATTAGGATCTGAGCACACAGTTAGATATTAATGCTACATCAATTGGAAGCAGAAATCAGGTGTGTGAGTGACAGCCCCCTGGTCTGGATTAGCAGAATTCTGCATCAGGAGGTCTTAGACCTGTGCTACAGGGAAGTGTCCAGATGACAAATACATCTTTTTCTGGCCTCAGCTGCATCTATTCATTTAGCATTTAACATCAAAGTGCTAAACACAGTCTGTGTAGCATATGAGATCATCTGTATTCTGAAGATTTGGCAATCTACAGAAAAAATGAGCAACCAAAGCACAGAGGAAAAGACATTTCCAGAGCAGGATCAAAATGGACATTCTGGGCTCCATTCTGTTGCCTAAATCTTGTGTCTCCTGCCATTTTAGGCGCCTTAGAGCACCCAAAGCATGTGTCCTATAATTTCAAATAGCACTGAAGTGAGCCCTCTCTGTTAAATCCAGTAATGCACGATCCCAGTACATTTGCTGAGGCAACCTTTAGCTGCTGTTCCTTTTTTTCACTTCCTCCACCTGCCATTAGCAGCCACCATTAACTTTTAAAGATTAAAAGCTGTTTTTCCAACTTGCCACGTTTAGTTTGCAGGGTTTAAAATCCATTTTACTAGTTTAGATACTGCTAAGTGGTAGCTGCCTGTAAACATAGAGAAGAGGGTAGTGGCAACATCTGTTACAAAAGCAACAGCTTAGAAGTCACACAAAAGCAGATATTTTCACTCTGGAAGTTTTCTCAAAACCTGTATTATTGACCCTTCAAAAATGATTAGAGTAATTATATTTTACTTCAGTTCTGGATTACCAGCAGTGCTTTACAGAAATAATAGTCTTAAAATGAAGCAAACTCTTACTGCATCTCGTTACTTGATGTCTTCTTTGTCTTTTTTGCCTTCTTGCTTAAGACCCAAACGATAATGCAAATGATAGCAGCTGCGAGAACTGCTCCAATTAATGCTCCAGCAACAACACCACCATCTGAATCTGCAAAGAAAAGATCACTTGACTTTTTAAAAAGTATTTATAGCAAAATCCCGTGGAAATTTAGAGGAGGAGCCTTTAGCGGAAAGATGGCATTGAATTCAAAGAACTAAAAAACTGACTGACAGCTGGATTTCCAGGAGGGAAGCCAAAGATTCTCTAGGAAAGAGAACTGTGCTTTTATGACCTTTGCTGCTCCTGTCTTGTTGGTTAGCTCCCTGCCCCAACAAACCCAATGTTTATGCCTGCTCTAAACTCCATGTCTCTTGATTCTCAGTAAAGGCTCTGCAGTCAGAGCCAGGTTCAGCTCCTGCTCCCAGTGTGAAATCAGTTGTCCAGGTCAGTGTAAATTCTGGGCATATCAGAATGAAAACTCTGGAGGTCTCCATTCTGTTCTTACTTGAAAAAAAATCTATGCTTTAAAGTTGTTACAGCATTTTCCTGCAAACTGTGCATGCCTTACATCAACTATGGGATTGCTTTCATGCATGAAACTTACGTTTCGTAGTTAGGTCGAGCTCACAGGTACTGTTCCCCAGGAGGTTGCTGGCTATGCACCGGTAATACCCAGTTTCAAAGGTGGTGAGATTGCCAATGTAAAGAATGCCAGTGTTTGGATCTGTGACAAACAGAGAGCAGATACTGGTTACTGTTTGTGTACTGTAGATGCCAACCATTTTCTTTAGTTGGTCATACTGAGAGCTGTTAAGAGATTAGAAACAGTGTTCTCCAATTATTCATTCATTTGGGGGTTTTCCATATTCTTTAAATAAGAAGTATTTACCTTCCTTGAAAATTACTACAGTGGGTTCTTTAGAAGTGTATTAGAACGTGAGAAATAGGCCCTTACTCTGCAATTCAGTCTGTCTGTCTGATGTTTTACCCTCACTGATACTATTATTGTCAGTGTAATTTCACAAATGAAAACATAACAGGAACTGAAGATCTTCAGGATTGAGGTCTTAGCACCTGAATGACAAGTTGACTTAAATTTCCAAGGGAAGGGAAATGGAAAGGGCACAAACATTTCTTCCATTTTAACAATTTAAAGTAATGGCATAGGCAAGACTTTAACATGCCACAAAATTTGTATTAAAACAAATAGAAAGAAGCTCTGTGTTTGTGATAGCTCTTAGTTGATTTGAATTAAGTAAAAATAATGATTTTGAGACATCGACCATCAGAAGAGGAGGGTAAGGTTTAACTATCATATGTGATGCATAGTGTTTGAAATGACTGGTGCTAAGGAACTCCACATTTTGAATATGGTGTAGTAGTTGTGTCTTACGTACTGAGTTGTTCAGTCACAGGCTTGAGAGTATTGTCAGCTACTTTGTACCAGCGGTAGGTAGGGTGAGGCAATCCTTCCTCACATCTGCATAAGAGGTAGATTAGATGGCCTTTTTCAGGGGTTCCTTCTATTTTGCAGAAAGGTGTTGATGGTTTGACTGTAAAATAACAACAAGGAGAACAAACACATCATGAGTACCTACCCAGGGGCAAGCATCTACCTTGACTTCTGGTATTCCACATGTAAAATTGAACCCCATCTACAGATTTCCATCCAAGAGCAGAGTCTTGTTCATAGATACATCTTGTTCAAAGATACATTTTAATAGATAGGCAAATGATATTGGAACCACATTCTTTTACTGGCTTTGATTGTCACTCTGATCAGGTATGAATTCTCAATACAAAAGCAATGATTAGCATGGGTTAGTGCAAACTTTCATCTTACTAATAAGTAAAATATCTTATTCCACTGCTTTTCATCCTTTCTGTCCTGTTTGTGGTTGAATTATTGCTTTCTTACATCCAAAACAGACTTTGTACTATTTCCATCCAACACATACTAAGTTTCTAGAGTTCCTGGGAATTGGGGTGAGCCAGATCCCTGGGGCTGTACTGCTGCCTCTCTCTAGATTTTCACAAGTTACCACAACCAACATTAGGTAAAATTAGTAAAATTTGGTCTTTGCTGGGGCTGGATGTAATCATAGAATCACAGAATCATAGAATAGTTTGGGGTGGAAGCAATCTTCAAAGGTCACCATTGCAGGTCCAATCCCCCTGCAATGAGCAGGGACATCTTCAACGAGATCGGATTGCCCAGAACCACATCCAGCCTGGCCTTGAATGTCTCCAAGGATGGTGCATCCACCATTTCCTTGGGCAACCTGATCCAGTATTTTACCACTCTCATTGCAAAGAATTTTTCCTCACATCGAGCTGGAATCTCCCCTCTTTTATTTTAAAACCATCACCCCTTGTTCTGTTGCAACAAGCCCTGCTAAAAAGTCTCTCCCCATCTTTCTTATAGGCCCCTTTTAAAAACTGGAAGGCCCAGAGTCTTCTCTTCTCCAGGCTGAACAACCCCAACTCTCTCAGCCATTCCTCATAGGAGAAGTAAGTTGTCAGTCCCAGCTGAAAGGGTTTCTTATTTTAATCAAAGTTAATATCACTTTGTTTTCCAATATGAAGAATGTAGTGAAGTTTTCCAATATGAGTGAATGTAGTGAATGGGTAATTCCAGATACCTGCTTACTTGCTGGCACGAGGTAGCATTTTGAGAGCACAAAGTGAAGCTGAAGTGAATTCCACTTGTAGGATAATGGGATTTTACTGTAGGTCAAGCAAGGGAAGCAGGAGAGCGGTATCAGCTCTGCTTTGGCTGGAAGCTAGAGGGCACCCCAGGCTCTGCCTGCCTCTGGAGCCCTTGGAAAATCTCTGCGTCAGTGCATCTCTGAGCCCTTTCTCTGCATCATGGGCCTTGTTTATCACAGTTCTGTTACGCCCTCTGGTCCTACGTATATTCAGCTGTGAATTCAGTGTTTCATAAGGGAGGAAAAGGACAGTACAGCAGTAGAGAGGAGAGGTGCTTACCCAGCACGTTGACAATCACGGATTTTTGACTCTGTCCAGCATCACCCTCTGGGCTGAAAACTTCACAGGTGTAGGAACCAGTGTCTGAGGGCTGCATGTTGGAGATTGTTATTGATGCATTCCCTGGACCTGTTGCAGCTGTTATCCTGTTCTTAAACTCTCCGTAGGTGTAAGACTGGCCTTCTGAATAATAGTAGATCTGTGATAACGAATCAATTGTTAGTTTGGTAACAAGAGATATTCCATTTGGTACTCATAATTGGAATACAGTTGATTTCTGATTAAACCCTTAATGTTATCCCCTTCCTTGCCCCCTCCCACAAGAAAGCAGACATGAAAATGTGGTACATTTGAACATATATTTCTAGTGGGTTTTAGAAGACAGCCTTTTCAGAAATTGGAATTTGTAATTGTGTAATTGGACAGTAGGTAGTTGTTTGTGGATGCTCCAGTCACAGACTGATGCATTTGCAAAAACAAAGGTGAAACCATTGACCATTGTATGAC